GACGAGTTTTATTCACTGATGTTGGCTTCACTTTTGCGAATCTTTTCACCATAAATACACAGTTCATCGCCTCTATGTTTACCTTATCACTAACCATAATTCTGGCTTTGGCAAACTTTCTCTATCAGTAATTGAGAAACGAGCTAGAGTTTAAATGAAAGATGGGTTTTACTTTTGATCACTTGTCTGTAAACTTAATAAATGAAATAATACAATTCGTAAATCTGCTTTATTTTTTCTTGTTATATCGCTAATATCCATAAGAGTCATAAATAATGCTTGCAACTCGATTTCTTCAATCGCTCGGAAATCTGAATTTTGCATTAGATTTACCTTAAACTCAAAGGAGGATGCCAAAAAGAAAGGCAATATGCCCTACTCCCAGAATTTTTATCAACAAATTTTTTATAATGCAGATTTACATGCTGATTTCCTGCAATAAACAGTATAGTTTTTGATAGTAACTCATCATTGCAGATGTTGCTGAGTTAAATCTTTCGGTCAAGCAGTTACACTGTGGGTGATAAGCGGTCGTGAAACGATGTTTTGTTTGCATAAGCCTGTTATCTCGCTCATTAATTTTGAACGAAATATGATTATTCAATTGTTCAATGAAACTTAATTCTATAAAATTGAAAAAATAATTCAAAATTAGAAATGAATAATTCTCTTTTCAGAAAATTTAATTTATTTATTGATATGATCAAAAATGGAATACGCAATGACAATGAACAATCGTAGTATATCATCAATCATTTGTTAGACCATATTATGAATATCTTTGTTTTCCTATGGTGAGTTTGCTTTGATTATTGAAAACAGGATATAAAGAAAGTCTAGGCAAGAATTGGACACAAAAGTGATCAATAAAAGATCGGTTTTTATAATCGTCTGACAATACGGTTGTGAGTTACATGGACAAAGCAAAAAGGATCTCTGCACAATGAAGCTGGTTAAGCTTACTTGCCAAAACTTTCTTCACAGTTAGTGCAAAATCTGGTAATATGAGAAAATAATTCACCAATATTCAGCAAAAATCAATTCAATCTTTTTATATTAATAAAGGGCGACCTGTTAATAGAGTCCGCATTTTTGAAGCTTAATTGCAATACGATAGAATTATTTAATCTAATTTTTTTAAGAAAATTGAATAGATACAAGTCTAAAAATTAGAATTTTTCATTCGGTGCATGAAAATATTCTTTTTCTACTGAATAATCTGAGTTCTTGCTTGAGTCCGGAAAAAAACTTTTGCGCAAATGTTTTTTTCGATTTTATTGAATAAATTCTGCAAAATTTTTCTAATGAATTCAAATTTTTGCTCAATTGTGTATTTTTTAATGCCGATTCTTATGTTGTGTCCTAATCAGTCCAAAACTTTTAATTGACCTTGCTATCGGTGAAATAGGTTGCGAGAGTTTCAGCTTTTTGTCGTTACTCATTTTCTCTATGTGTTTTTAACATGGGTTTGGCAAACTATTTTTAAAAAGAGTTCATTTAAAGCCCATTTAAGAAAAGACGTCGTATTTAATTACGATGAATTATATATTTAATTGCAGAGCATAGATTTGTGATTAAAATGCTGTATTATTTGTCTGGGTGCGACATCCCTAACTTGCTGAAATTGCCGAATCCTCAAAAGGACTTTACTAACAGGTCGCCCTTTAATTATAACATTGTCTAACTTTTTAAGCCCAGACATTATGAAAGCATTGAATTGATCACATTGGTTCAAAATTGATTATTTGAATAATACTAAAGGACATCTCACTGAAAGAAATCAAAACGTTTTAAATAGGTTGACTTATGATTTCTTCATTTAGCATTTCAATAAAAGTCAGAGTGAATGATAGTGTAGATTTTAAAGTATAATATTACCATTGTTTTTTAGTCAAGATTGAAATTGAATAATGAACATTGAAGAAGCAGTCCAAGAAAATATTCTCTTCAAGAGGAAATCATATTTCGGAACTTATCAGCGATTATTTTTATTTTGTACAGAATTATTTTGCTTGATATCGGTGATCACAATATATTCACCTGCCTTTTATCGCAAGTTAAACTCGAAACTCGATGTATATGTTTTGTGTCGAGTCACAATCAATATAATTTTAGCAGCTTCTCGTTGCATTATCGTTTTAGTTTTGATTAAAAGTAAAAAAATTTCTTCTTATTTGGGCAATTTACATGCAATTGGCATTCATCAAGACCATGAATTGAAAAGATTTATAACTCAACAGCAGTTGTACAAAAATATCGCAATTGCGACTTTTACAATCATACAATATGTTCTTCACGGTTTCAACTTTATAAATATTGATATGAACTCTGTTTGGAGGAAGTCTATTCGTGTAATATTGCTTTATACCTATCAAGCAATATATTTGCTTATCCTGAGAGAGGTTGTTGATGTTTGTATCCACTTACAAGCAGCATTTAAATTGGTCAATTCAAAGGTTAGCTCATTGGTAAATAATCAATCAATCAATCTGAAATCATTAATATGTTGTCGTCGCTATTACACTCATGCGGTTAAAGCCACTAAATCAGTTGAAAATTATTTTCGCTGTTTTGTTACCTTTTACTTTATTCAATATGCTTTTCATAACATAATGAATATCGTCAATGCGTTTGGAGGTCGATCATCAATGGATATTTATTGGATGTTTCACACCATCAATGACACTCTATTGATGATCTATTTAACTGTTAATTTAGTCTCAATCAATTTATTATCTCGAGAAAGTTTGGATAATCTGTATGAGCTTTCATTCAAAATGAAAAGGATGGACATGAAATATGAGGTAAAAACGTTTTTATCGTTGAATTACATAATCTGATATTTATATAATCGATATTTATTACAGAATGAGATTTTCATTGGACGAAAAATCACTGATGTTGGCTTTACTTTTGCGAACCTTTTCACCATAAATACACAGTTTATTGTCTCTATGTTTACCTTATCACTGACTATCATTCTGGCTTTGGCAAAGGACGAGGACCAAAAGAATAGGGAAAACTGCCTAAGAAATAGATTTTTTTTTAAATCCGCGTCTAAGATGTAAAATTTTATGCTGATTCCAAAAATTAATTCCATTTTTCGATATGATGTATAGTTTTTGCGTTATCAGGTAAAAAATCGCGAAATGTTGAAAATGGCCTGAACCAGTTTTGAGTGACAAAGTATTTTGACTTTTTTGAATACTTTCGACTATATTATACCTAAAAAATATATCAGAATATTTGTATCATCGGGGCGTCTATGACTTTTTTGATAACGCTCGATATCTTTTGCGGGTTTTTAGCCTTTTGGCCATTTAAATGATTTGAGTGACAAAGTATTTTGAATATTTATCATGTATTAGACAACGCTCTATTCAAAAAATGTATCAGTATAGCGGTATCATCGGAGACTCAATGCAATTTTCAAGAAAACTAATATTCTTAGGATTGAAAAATAGTATACACGCCCCGGTGATACCGCTATACTGATACATTTTTTGAATAGAGCGTTGTCTAATACATGATAAATATTCAAAATACTTTGTCACTCAAATCATTTAAATGGCCAAAAGGCTAAAAACCCGCAAAAGATATCGAGCGTTATCAAAAAAGTCATAGACGCCCCGATGATACAAATATTCTGATATATTTTTTAGGTATAATATAGTCGAAAGTATTCAAAAAAGTCAAAATACTTTGTCACTCAAAACTGGTTCAGGCCATTTTCAACATTTCGCGATTTTTTACCTGATAACGCAAAAACTATACATCATATCGAAAAATGGAATTAATTTTTGGAATCAGCATAAAATTTTACATCTTAGACGCGGATTTAAAAAGAAATCTATTTCTTAGGCAGTTTTGGTCTTTATCCTTTCTCTATCAGTAATTATGAAATCTGTGAAGAGCATTACAAACGAGTGTCAAGGATGAAGAGGCCATCAATACTTACATACCAACATAACTGTGTAAGTTAAATTGGCATTGATAACAATCCATTCACTAAGGTCAATAACATGGTTATTCCTAAGAAGCAGGTCCTTCTTTTGCGATTTCTAACCGTTCGTGTCAATCAGATTATTGTGCCCTCGACGCTGATAAACCACAATCAAAAGAAATGGTATCGAAATTTGAGAGTCAGAAATTCATGTTACAAAGAACAGCCAAATTTCGAGTTAAAAAACCTCAAGATGGAAAATTGAATCCCTGCATTCTTAGATTCTTAGTTCGCTCGGCATTAGATCTATATCCAAGAAGCAGGTCAGCATTTCGAAGAAGATCGCTTAATAAATACATGGTTAAGCACCATTAGTCTTTCATTTCCAGAAATCAATTAAATTGAAAAAAGTGAATTTAGAAATAGAAATGAATCATTTTCTTTGCAGAATTTATTTGATTGATATGATCAGAAATAAAGATATAAAATCCGCAAGGACAGCGAACAATCTATATCATCAATCATTTGTCAGACCATATTATGAATATCTTTGTTATTTCATGGCGATTTTACTTTAATAATGGAATAAAAACTCTGACATTATGAGTAAATAATAATTTACCTTTATTCAGCATAAATCAATTCAATCTATAATATTAAAAATTATAAAAACTGTCTAGCACTTGCCATCCCAAAAATTTTTCATCATTGAATTGGAAGCTGGAAATTGATCACATCGGTTCAAATGGCTTGTTCATGTAACACTAAGGGACATCCTCAATGAAAGCAATCATTTATTGATCAAGGTTCAGACTGTGTTCAACTTGATTTTATTAAAAGTCAAAGCGGATGAAAATAGATTGTATCATATTATCCTCGTGATTTAGGTTAACGAGGTTAAAATTGAATAATGAACGCTGAAGAAGCAGTTCAAGAGAATCGTCTCTTCAAGAGGAAATCATATTTTGGAACTTATAAGCGATTATTCTTATTTTGTACAGAATTAATTTGCTTGATTTCAATAATCACAATCAATTCCCTTTACTTCAATCTCGATTTAAACTCGAAACTTGGTGTATATGCTTTGTGTCGCGTCATACTCAATATAACTTTGTCTACTTCGCGCTTCATCCTCATTTTGGTACTGGTTGTAAAAAGTAAAGCAAAGGCTTCTTATTTGGACAGTTTGCATTCGATCGGCGTTCATAAAGACCATGAATTGAAAAGATTCATAACTCAACAGCAATTGTACAAGAATATCGTGTTTGCAACTTTCTTGATCCTGCAATATGCCCTTGATGTCTGGAACTACTTCAATATTGATATAAATTCTGTTTGGAAAATGTCTTTTCATACAATACTGGTTTCAGCTTATCCTGCTATATATTTGATTATCCTAAGAGAGATTGTTGGTGTTTGTATCCATTTACAAGCAGCATTTAAATTGGTCAATTCGAAGGTTGATTCATTGGTTAATAACCAGTCAACAAATCTGAAATCAATGATTTGTTGTCGTCGTTATTACAGCTATGCTGTTAAGGCCACTAAATCAGTTGAAAATTATTTTCGTTATTTTGTTACCTTTTACTTTGTCAAATACGCTTGTTATAGCATAATGAATATCGTTGATGCGTTCGGAGATCGATCAATGCATCTTTATTGGGTACTTCACACTATTATTGACACTCTATTGATGATCTATTTAACTATTAATTTGATCTCAGTCAATTTATTATCTCGAGAAAGTTTGGATAATCTTTATGAGCTTTCGTTCAAAATGAAAAAAATGGACATGAAATATGAGGTAAGAACTTGTTTCATCGTTTCGCAGTAATTGATACAAAACCTCATTGCATTTCATTTTATCAATATCTTTTACAGAATGAGATTTTCATTGGACGAGTTTTATTCACTGATGTTGGCTTTACTTTTGCGAACCTTTTCACCATAAATACTCAGTTCATCGCCTCTATGTTTACCTTATCACTGACCATAATTCTGGCTTTAGCAAACTTCCTGTATCAGTAATTGTGAATATTTTACAACAAGCGGGGGTTTCGAGCATAAGTTTCGTTCATGGTTACTCGTCTGTAAAAATAATAAATAAACGCGACAAAGGTTTATCTCCATGATATAAATTTAAATCTTATTCGTTTTCGGGTTTTCAATAATTAATTTTTGTCTTTGAACTTAAAGTAATTTATTATTAAGGTGTTTATATGATGTGAGAATAAGCAGTGTAATAGGGCATTGTTCAATGGGTAACATTTCCAGTACGAATAATGTTTTAAGTTTTGTTAAACCTATGGTGCCAGAAAGCAGTGGGTTTAACTGAATGTCGAAAAGATCTGTCTTAAAAGAACAGAAATAGTTTGGGAATTATCATCTGGGAAAATAGGGTCTGACGAACCCTCAAACGTATTTTTAGGCCGAAATCAATATGCAGATATCACAATTAGTTATATCTTAATAATTTATGATCTAAGCAATAGCATTTAGAAAACTTCAAGATTCTCCGGCAAATCTTGAGCCTTAAATAAGTGTCCTTCTTAGTAGACTATAAGCAGCCCACTCTGGCACACTGTGCTAGCACAACTTGACCTTATTCCAGGAAAAAGGTCAACTTGTGCTAGCACACTGTTCCAAAGAAGGCTGCTGAATAAAGAGAAGAAAGAGGAAAAGAAAGAGGAGAAAGAGAACCAAGTTAAAGATGAAGGTGAAGATGAAGGTCAATGTGTGCTAGCACACTTTTTGAGAACAAGCTTCTTTGGGAAATAGAAGAAAGCGAAATCGACAGAGGAGAAAGAGAATTAAGATGAATATGAACCTGAATTGAGGTGGATGTTTGAATTCCGTCATAATGATTTCCAAAGAAATAATGCAATTATAAAATTACTGATAAATATTATTTGTTACAGCTTTCTATGCATTAAAAGTTACAAAAAACAATTTTCTATTTTTAGTAGTCAATTAATCAATCATCAATTAGTGAACAACTTTAAATGACAACATTAGTTTTAAATTTTCCTAACGTTTCTGAAGTTTTCTTGAGTTTTTGGTGTTCAAAAATGACAATGGAAATAAAACAAGAATTCTTTATTTTATTCTCACCTTCATCTGTATTGTCCCTTCCAACACCTTCATGATCTCATTTTATTTGCAAGGAAAACGTTTGACAATGTGTCCACCATTTTTGAACCTGGTTCGTCAACATGCGTCTGAAATTCACGAAGGAGTTTCTGCTGCTACATCATCACCAAACTTCTCAAACAATGCCTCAACAGCTCCTCGATCATTGAGAAGCGTTGTAAAATCATCGAATGAAATTGCTCGTAATATACATGATGCAACATCATTGCGAGAAATTTTAAAGAAAAATCAGTGCCAACCATCAAAAACAGCTTCGCAAAATGTGCCATCACGTTCGGTGAATTTTCCACCTCCGCCTGCAAAGTGTTGTGTTAAAAATTGCTGTCCGGTGACGAGACATCAACTTTTTCATCAATTTCATGTAAACGTTGATAATAGTGTTGATTGGCAAAATCTTGGGCGAAAACCAACTCAGATGTAAGTTTTTTGAAATTTATAACATTGTGCGCAAATTTTTCATTAAAATGCATTTACTTGTGTATTTTCAGTGCAGTTGGTAAATCATTGAGAGAGCGAGTTGAGCGGACCAAGGCTTCCTTGAAAATATACGCAAGGGTTATATCCGAACCGCGATAAAGAAAGAGAAATGGATGAGGAGAAAAGAAAAAATTATCAAGAAAATGAAAGAGGTGAAAAGAGAAGAGAAGAAAAGATTATAATGAAAATGATGCAGAGATGAGATGAGATTATGAGGGAAAAAAGGAAAAGTTAGAGGGAAAGGGCAAGAAAAGAGAAAGAGAAATGAAGAGGATAAAATTCTATCAAAAAAGATAAGAGATGAGATGAGATGAGATGAGATGAGATGAGATGAGATGAGATGAGATGAGATGAGATAAGATAAGATGAGACGAGATGAGACGAGATGAGATGCGAGGTCAGGTCAGGTTGTGCTAGCACAGTGTGCCAGGGTGGGCTGCTTATACTCTTCTTATGAAATCTGCATTCTTGGAAAGATCTTTAAGCTTTTTAGGAAACCCGGAAAATTTTTACCCTGCCTGCCAGTCATTAATTTGCATCATGCCATTTCAGTTAAACTGCAGTATACTATACTATAAATTGTTTACAATTAAGTTCAATGTCTCTTGATTACAGAAGTGATCACAATGCCTGTCCGCCATTCAAAAATTATTTCTCAGACTCGTGAGTGGTTAGATAGCTTTCGTTATGAATCAAAATGAACTTGTATCCATTGACTTGATGAGCAATTGTAGGTAACTTGGATCCATGTTATGCCAGACCTCTTAAACCCTCACTTTTCATCTTCGTAGATAATCTTACTAGCGGTCAAACATAATTAAAACGAAAAGCACCCCATACCATAAGCGTACAACCTCCGAAATCACGCTCCGAAAAAATTCGTTTGTCCTTCCTTTCAAAACCTTGTCCACAGTTCATTAAAAAATGTTTATTAGTTCGATTTCATTTGTGTTTCGCCTTATTTTATTTAAAATTGACAATTATCGACCAAAGGTAAGGAATATAACTATTCTTTTCTATAGAGTTCTCTTTAATTTATCCACATTATTTTTCTGTTTTGCAGTCATGGGTACGTTTGTGAATCTATCTGCTCGACCACATATCGTATTCCAAACAGCTTATATCCGCCGTAGGATTAATCACAACTACTGAAAAGGTGGTCACAGTTAATGAACCTTCGGGATCCGGCCTCCAGAAGGCAGCGAAACCTTCAAAATCAAAAAATTTGAGAAAGAGGTCATATATTGAACCTGATAGTGGGGATGAAGATTGCCGGGATTGAAAGTAACAACACCTATATACAGCGTCAGAAGAGATAGTTCGGGATTACAGTGGTGCCGTAAAAGAAGGGTATTTGCCGGGGAACAAAGAACTGACAAATACTTGCGAATGGAACTCCAAAGTGTGAATTTCCTAGTACATCCTTCCAAGTATAAAAATCTTCCCCATGATTTACCCCAAAGAAACAAAGATTGAGAAAAACTTATTGATTGCGAGAATCCTTCCAGTTATCCTGATAGTGAACCTTGTCCATATCGGTGGGTGTGGTCGGCTTTATTCAGCAAAAAAATTAATATCGCCATGAAAAGGCTTGTATAGCCCGTGGTACCACTGAGTGGGTTCCTGACGTTGATTATCGAATCGAGGAAATCAATTTTTATCAACTAACAATATATCGTTAGAGAGACCTCTGCGAGACAAAGCTGGTATTTGGTCCAGACCCGGACAAAACTTGGTCCAACAGAGGACATATATACACTTTTTTATTGCTTTGTGCCTCATTTCCCGTCAATGTAATGACCCTTTTCTCTATCGTTTGATGGCCAGCGATGAAAAATCGGTCCTTTATCATGATAATACGAGGTCATATGCTTGGTTGAAGCCAGGTTAGGCATCAAGATCAACCCCTTAACCTATATTGCGTCAAAGGAAGCTTCTTTTTTGTGTTTGGTGGTGTCCAAGGGGGTGCACTATAAAGTTCTATATTTGCGCAGACTAATGAATGTCACTAATAGTGTCATGGCTTAGCAACATTATTCTTTTATTTCTATAATAGAAATCAATGTGAGACCAAAACCTTTCTTTTGTATAAAAATTTAAATGACAATTATCCAGATGATTATTCAATCATTCAATTGTTCAATAAAACATAAACCAATTAAATTGAAAAAAGGGAATTTAAAATTAGAAATAAATTATTTTCTTTGCAGAAAGTTTCATTTATTTGATTGATAGCGCCAGAATGAAGATATAAAGTTCGCAATGACAACGAACGATCCTAGTATATCATCAATCATTTGTTAGAACATAGATATCTTTGTTGTTTCATGGTGACTTCAATCATGGCTAACTTCGTTTACTTCAAACTCTGACATTATGGGCAAAAGATTTACACCTTTGTTCAGCGAAAATCAATTCAATCTTTTTTATATTTAAAATTATAAAAAATTGTCTAGCTTTTGCAATCTCAAAGATTTTCTAGCTTTGAATCAGAAGCAGGAAATTGATCACAATGGTTGTAATTGATTATTTAAATGATAAGGGACATTCTCAATGAAGGAAATCAAAATGTATTGAAATAGACAAAGATCAAGCTTATGTTTCACACCATTTAGCCTGAATGCAATAGTGAATTAGCATGAATTATTTCACATTATCCTTAATTTTTAAGTGAAAATTGGAATTAAATAATGGACGTTGAAGAAGCAGTCCAAGAAAATATTCTCTTCAAGAGGAAATCATATTTCGGAACTTATCAGCGATTATTCTTATTTTGTACAGAATTATTTTGCTTGATATCGGTGATCACAATATATTCACCTGCCTATCATCACAATTTGAACTCGAAATTCGATGTATATGCTTTATGTCGAATCACGATCAATATTATTTTAGCTACTTCTCATTTCATCATCGTTTCGGCTTTGGTTAAAAGTAAAAAAATTGCTTCATGTTTTGACAATTTATATCAAATCGGCATTCATCAAGACCATCAATTGCAAAGATTCATAACTCGAAAACAGTGGAACAAAAATATCGTATTTTCAACTTTCTTAATCCTACAATATGCTCTTCATTTGTTTATTGATAAGAAAAGTTTGCCTGTTTGGAGTAAAGTAATTTATTTTATCGTGCTTTTAGTCCGTCCAGTTACATTTATCTTTATCCTGAGAGAGATTGCTGATGTTTGTATCCACTTACAAGCCGCATTTAAATTGGTCAATTCAAAGGTTAATTCATTGGTAGAGAACCAATCAATCAATTTGGAATCATTGCTATTATGCCGTCGATATTACAGTTATGCTGTTAAGGCCACTAAATCAGTTGAAAATTATTTTCGCTATTATGTAACCTTTTACTTTGTTCAATATGCTTGTTATAACATAATGAATATCGTGGATGCGTTCGGGGATCGGTCATCAATGGACATTTATTGGGTACTTCACACTATAAGTGACACTATATTGATGATCTATTTAACTACTAAATTTGTCTCACTCAATTTATTACCTCAAGAAAGCTTGGAAAATCTTTGTGAGCTTTCATTCAAAATAAAAAGACTGGACATGAAATATGAGGTAAGAACTTCATTTAGCCTTTATTACAAAATCTGCTCAAATTTCATTCCACCAATATTTTTTCACAGAATGAAATTTTCATTGGACGAGTTTTATCCACTGATGTTGGCTTTACTTTTGCGAACCTTTTCACAATAAATACACAGTTCATCGCCTCTATGTTGACCTTATCACTGACCATAATTCTGGCTTTGGCAAACTTTCTCTATCAGTAATTGGGAATCTATTACAACCAGCTAGAGTTTCAATGATGGTTTTATTTCTGGTTATTTATCTGTAAACACAATAAATAAAAGTATTTCAATATCATTCGTTTTCGCGCGGAAATTTTTATTTATTATTCTTGGCCGTTTTTGAAAGTGCACTTTGTTTCAAAGCGAGTTTTTTTATCTTAAAATAAAACTAAAAGAGCCAAAACTACGAGGTGTTCAAACGGGTAGGTTAAACTTTGTGGCTTTATATCTCGAGATCGCGGTTATTTTAATTTTATATTAATTAGCTTCATCAGGAATTTGAAAGTGTCTAAAAGACAAATTTTTCAGGAGCGACACAGAAACGCTTACCCAGCTTGAAAAAGCAGTTTATAATGAGATTATAACATTTCAATGAAAACTTGTCAAAATTCATAACTTTATTTTTGGAAATCTTCTGACGGCGTTAATTGTAAAAGGGCAAGGGCATTTTGAACATCTGTATCATTAATTCCTGATCTGTTAAAATACAGGTTTTCAGATCAATAAACAAATCCGTTCTAAAGATATAGTCGTTTACTTTTTGAACACGTTGTAGTTGAGCCTGTTGAGTGCTTTAGTAAAAATGAAAGTCCCCGTTCATGATGAAGAAATTCGTTTTGAATTGACGGAAACAAAGACGGCGAGAGAGATATGGAAACCAGTTAAAAGCCAAAAAATTTGAACTATACGCAAACTAGAAATAAGAAACATCTTACGGTCTTATTAACTGAACTTGAACTTATTAAAAGAATAAAGTTAAATTGAAGTCGCTATTATTAATACACTTTAAAGCGGTTAAAGCCACTAAATCAGTTGAAAATTATTTTCGTTATTTTATTACTTTTTACTTCTTCCTTACTTTTTACTTTTTTTAACACAATGAATATTGTCAATGCGTTTGGAAGCCACTCAAAAATGGACATTTATTGGATATTTCATGCTATTAATGACACTATATTGATGATCTATCTGAATGTTAATTTGGCTCAATTCATTTACTATCTCGAGAAAGTTTGGACAGCCTTTCTGAGCTTTCATTCAAAATGAAAAGAATGGACATGAAATATGAGGTAAGAACTTGTTTCATTGTTTTGAAGTACACGCTGATGACACTGTATCAATTTTATCAATATTTTTCACACAATGAAGTTTTCATTGGACGAGTTTTGTTCAGTGATGTTGGCTTCACTTTTGCGAACATTTTCACCATAAATTCACAATTCATCGCCTCAATGTTAACCATATCATTGACCATAATTCTGGCTTTTGCAAACTTTCTTTATTAGCAACTGTTAAATCTAAAACGGGCTAGAACAGTGCATTATTTTTGAGGTGGCGTCCCCCTCTACTAAAGCTATTTTATGAAAAAAGCAACTTACATGTTAGATCGTGGTCGTCTAGGAAGTGGCCTCTATGATTGAGGATATCATGCTGATGGCGAAGATGATAATCAGGGACAAGGACGAGGAAATTTCGGAATTGGTTGAACGACTGCATAATTCTTGTATTTTTTGTGTCTTTTTTCAAAAAATAACATTTGTGATAATTTGCTGGAGGTCAATTTTGATAAGACACTTTCATCCATTTGATTGATTTGATCAGAAATGAAAAGATTGATTATTAAATACTCGTAATGGTATAAGTCATAATTTATCATTTACCATGTATTGGATCGTATGATTGTCATCTTTGTTATTTAAAGGCGAGTTCAGGGGTGAATGGAAATAATGACTTTGATAAAATATTAACTTGTTCAGAAGAAACCATTTCCACTTATTTATTGTTATAATCAATTGTATAGTTTTTTTAGATTCAAACATACCAGGTTATTCAAAAGAAACTTGTTGTGAAGCTCAAAAGTTAGTCAAGTTATCGTTTAGTTAAGATTGCAAATAAATAATGAACGTTACAGAACCATTCCAAGATAACCGTCTTTTCAAGAAAAAATCATATTTTGCAACTAATCAGCGATTATTCTTATTTTTGGCAGAATTATTTTGCTTGATATCGATAATCGCAACAGATTCACATTTCTTTAATCTCAAGTCAAGCTCGAAGTTTTATGCATATGCTTTGTGTCGAATCGTAATCAATATAGTTTTAGTTACTTCTCGCTTCATCCTTGTTTTGGTTTTAGTTAAAAGTGAAAAAATTGCTTCTTTTTTGGACAATTTATATGCAATTGGCGTTCATCAAGATCATGAATTGATAAGATTCGTAACTCGACAGCAGTGGTACAAAAATAGCGCATTTACAACTTTCTTAATCCTACAATATGCGCTTCAGTTCATGCGTTTTATTGATATTGATAAGCGAAGTTTTTCTGTTTGGAGGGAAATACTTTATATTTTTAAGATCTCAATTCATCCAGCTATATTTATCTTTATCCTCAAAGAGATTTCTGATGCTTGTATCCACTTACAAGCAGCATTTAAATTGGTCAATTCAAAGGTTAGTTCATTGGTAAATGACCAGCCAACAAATCTGAAATCATTAATATGTTGTCGTCGCTATTACACTCATGCGGTTAAAGCCACTAAATCAGTTGAAAATTATTTTCGCTATTTCGTTACCTTTTTCTACATTCAATATGCTTGTTATAACATAATGAATATCGTCGATGCATTCGGAGGTCGATCATCAATGGACATTTATTGGATATTTCATACCATCAATGACACTCTATTGATGGTCTATTTAACTACTAAGTTTCAATCAATTTATTATCTCGAGAAAGTTTGGATAATCTGTATGAGCTTTCATTCAAAATGAAAAGGATGGACATGAAATATGAGGTAAAAGCTCGTATTATCGTTTTGCAGGACTAATTTTATTGAATTTCATTTTATCAATATTTTTTACAGAATGAGATTTTCATTGGACGAGTTTTATTCACTGATGTTGGCTTCACTTTTGCAAACCTTTTCACCATAAATACACAGTTCATCGCCTCTATGTTGACCCCATCACTGACCATAATTCTGGCTTTGGCAAACTTTCTCTATCAATAATGAGTGAAAGTTTCAGTCAAATGATAGGTTTCAATCCTGGTCTGTAAACATAATTAATAAACTGATCTCAATCTCATTTGTTATGGGTTTATAATTTTTTTCATGTTATATCGCATTCAAATGCATAAAGATTGTTAATTCATGATACTTCGGATATTTTACATTATATCTTGTTATGGACAAGTTTATTCAAATTATCTGTTATAACTGTATAACCTTTATGCTTCTAAGCATAAGATATACTTGCTGTTCATGGGTTAATAATAGTAAAGAAGAACATGGATAACATGTTAAGGATTAATATTATGAAATAAATGATAAAAATGGGGAAATTGGGAAAAATATCTCATTCAGATATCTAAACATTTATTTGATAAACAATGATAAAAAGCTTGTAACTGACGCAATGTGAGGCTCATTTGATACATCTTTTTACATAGTAACAAATTATGAACCAGTAACTCCTCTACTCTCTGGTAACACAGTTAGTTGTTTGGCTTAAATGACATTGAACGGCCCTAACCACTTATGCTGAAATATTATCAGCTTGTAAAAGTTATCTCATCAATAACTTCCATGTTTTACATGTTTGTTAACATGAATTGACAAGCCTGAAGAACGTGTAGGAACTTCGAATTGGAGGATTTCCAAATCTATTCGTTGATTATCTTTCTATTACAACACAAAATTTCACAATTTAAGCCTTTTACGACTGATAAATAAATGCAAAGTAAAACTGAACAATCAAGGATAATGGCTGTTATTATCAAAGTATAAGTCAGTTCGTGGTTATGTGATCAATTCATTATTAAATTTACATTTTTTCATTCACTTTGCTTGTTGTTCAATCAAATAGCACAATGTCTGCTCCACAACTCAATACATTAACTCGTCTGATCAAATTATCCCATCTGAAAAGCCAATCGTTTGTACATTTGAATAATATCGCAACTCTAAATGTACGACTATCTTCGACGACTTCAACAGCCAATGTTAACAACACTGGCCAAAGCTTAGTATCGAAATCAAGTGATGAAATTGCTGTGATCAATAGAAAGGGCATTTTAACACTTCGATTAAATCGACCTGACAAGAAAAATGCCATTTCCATTTCAATGTACGATCAAATAAGGGAGACTTTTAGTAAAGCTGCCACCGATGACAATGTTAAAATGGTTCTAGTCACTGGAACTGGCGATTACTATTCAAGTGGAAATGATTTGGGTGAGTTTTAATGTTTGAATGATTAACTGTTTGATTGAGGAATAAATGAGTTTATTATTTTCGGTTGTCTTATTGCATGTGAAGCCAGTGGCTTTGGTTCAGGAATGCTCAAATCTTTACGCGCCCAGCTTCAACAAAAAGATGGTAAGCGTACCATTAACCTTTCAATGTGCACTGTAAATCTTCAACTGTAGCTTTCTCATCTAGGTAATAGTGAGATTAAATTGACGCCTGAAACGTGTAAAATGGCCGACGAATCTGCACAACTGGCTGAACAATTTGTCAATTCAATAATTGATTTCCCAAAACCTTTATTTGCGGTTGTTAATGGTCCAGCTTTTGGCATTATGGTTACTACTTTGGGTTTGTGCGATAATGTCATCTGTTCCGATAAAGCTATATTTGTGACTCCATTTTTGTCCACATCGCAAGTACCTGAAGCGTGTTCATCGTACACTTTCCCTCGAATCATGGGAACATCTCGAGCCAATTCACTCTTGCTCTTCAATCAAACTCTGACTGCTCAAGAAGCTTATAATTCTGGTTTAGTTTCCAAAGTTGTTCCTCACGAGCAACTCGACCAATACGTTGAATCATTACTGTTTGATGATAAAAAAGGATTAGCCAGTTTCGAGTCAACAATAACCTGGACCAAAGGTAAACCATTAATCAGAGATGAAAAGGAAAAGGAACTTTTAAGAAAAGTAAATCATAAAGAGTGTCAGGAAATTGCGGAAACGTGGAAGTCACCAGATTTTGCTAAAGCTATGCTAAAATTTTTCAATCGCAAAAAATAAACCTTGAATCGACTCAAGGATTCAAGAAATGTCATTATTTTTCATGAATTGTTTATATTTTAATCAATCTTTACATTTTCTGATTGCAATCAATCGACAGCATAACTATTTCTAGAAACCTTAAAGCTTATAATTTTTCTAGTACATTGTATATTAATAACATGATAAATTTACTCACCCATTATTTGTTAACTATTGATAATAAAATTAATACAAAAATACTATTTAGTTAATTCCTTCTTGAGATTATTCCATGGATTTTAACCAGAACGTGATTACAGTAATTTTTAGGTTAATGCATCAAAAGTGGATTCAAGTAAAATTAGATTCCACCAGAAGGCGTTGTTTTAATGACTTCTGACTATCGTTTGGATTTATTTCCATAGCAACAAGCATTATCTCAATCTAATTAACGTTAGATGGAACTTTTTATGCATTCATTGATAAATTACACCAATTAAATTACAGTAGTCTCATTGGATTATTGAAAAGTCTTATTAATATAAACAGTAATATTTGTAACGTAATGTTTAAACTCTCTTTGCTAATATGCTTACTCTGGCTGTAAGATGAAATTGGCTTAATTTTGATAGTTATTTAATTAAATGGCGATTCTTGGTTTACAGTTTATATATTTTAAAATTAGTTGTAACAATATAACAGTCAAATTACTTGTTACTGTTATAAATCAGTCTTTTCGAGTTTATTAAAGTCTATTTACCGATAAAAGATGACAGATGAAAGACAAAAAATGAAAAACAAAAGCAAAGAAAACAGTAAAAACTCAGAGAGGATGAATTATGGTAATAATATTAATGATGATTTCGTGTAGTCAAAATGAAATTCAAGAAAGCTCATAAAGGTTCCATTTAGGATGTTTTTTGTTGGTTTATCCAATTCTCGATCTCCTGGTAATTTAGATTCATCCAGGCAACATTTGCTTCAGCCTTTTCCAATGCTTGTTTAAAAGCTCTTTGAGCTGACGTTAAGTCATCTTTTACACTTTCATAAAATGATTTAAACTGTGAGTTGAAAATGGAAAGAAATTTAGTCATTAATAGATGATCAGTTAAGAAGCAATTTAAGATTTAATTACGCACCTGGTTCAATTCAAATGGAAGTGTGATTGAACTTGAAACCGATTTTATCACATGGCTCATCGCAAAGTAAGATTTACCATAACTGTAATAGAAACAGAAAGTAGAAGTTAAAATTTGCCGGAAAAAAAATTGGGAATAGCAACTTACTAAGAAACAATTTTATCCCATTTATTACGGAAAAAGTTGAATGCAATGTCCCTACCATAGCCACTTGTGGCAATGGCTCGGAAAACAGTGGAACCATCTTGTTTCCTGATTCCACTTGAATCGTCAAGAGACATTTCTAAGTATCTATTCAATAACCAGGGTTCCCTGGAACATGCTAAACCTCTCATAAGATACTCTTTTTCAGTTGCAGTCGATGCAGACAAGTATTGTTCCCAAACCCATTGCCAATCCTTTTCAGTTCCCCATTGAATACCAAAGCAAACAACATCTCCTCTCAAATTTGGATGCACTCTGTGAAAAAAAAGTGAAAAACATTTCGTGAATTAACGTCATTAAGTTTTCTGTTGAAATTAATGGAATCAGATAATCATCAACAGCTCGTCACACTCTTCAAAACAGATAAATGAAAGCAAGTTAAAATCAAGTTAACTGTGTCAATACTTGGAATACTGATTAATTTCAAAGTATCAATTCGACTCAATTTATCTCAAAATCAGTTGAAAATTTTTCATTTTTTGCCTTGCATTTTGTTTTGAAAAGATTCAAAGATAAAGATGAAACATTTTCCAGTTGATTTTAATCATGATTTACTGCATCTATCTTACGGGTTTGTCTTGTTCTCGGATTTTGCTGTTTTCCAGGCTTCAAATTGCTTCTGAGCTTCAAGAATGCATGGCATATGTTGATAATAACAAGCCCAGTTGATAACTCTTAATTGCATAATTTGACTAGCAATGTCATCTGGATTGTCGGGAGCTCGCCATCCAAATTTGTTGTATTTGTTTACAACTAAACTCAGAACATAACTCTGAAAGAAAAGAAGAAATTAGAAAAATTAATAAATTAATTGATAGACGATTCAATCTCAATTAAATTAAATACCTTCCAACGACCGTAAAGACTTGTTCGTCTCAACATTGAGTCCAAAAATCTGATTTCACTGGAAGCTGAACCCCAAGGAACAAAGTCTTCTTCATTAACAAGATACCGAGTAACTTCCAATGCTAATGAATAGTTGACTATATTAGCACGAGCCAAATCAAACAAATCATCAACAATTTGGGCTCGATTGAGAACATGAATACGATTATGATCTTTTTTAAGTTGATTAATCAACATTAACCAATTTTTTTCGTCGTAGTTCACCTTGTAATAGCCAACTTCTTGTAAATTGAGAATGATCCATTCATCGTCTTTCGGTAAGAAGGAAACCTCCATCGATTTTTCAGCTAAATTGATTAGAGCCATGAAAAAGAAATTAATAAAAATTAAAAGATTATCAGAAATCAATGAGAAACAAATTCGAGTAAATTTGATAAAGAAATGTAATCGTGTTAATGAATTATCTCATCATGCAACTTTTTGATTTTCAATGGGAAATCCTCCATGATAGTGCATCAACTAAATGACTTTTAACAGAATATAATTGAGGTGTTCTTCCATGATTCATGCAATTCACACTTAATAATATGATTCAGCATGAGAAATTTTTCCTTCGTACTTGATAATCATTTCAAAGTTTAATATTAATCTTTGAGCAACAAATTTGGAAGCTTTTACAACAGTAATTTTTGTATTCTCTCCAGTTAGTTCCGTTTTAATTCCAATCAACTGAATCATTCGATTCACAATTTGAATGAAGAACCACCACTGTTTGGTTATTATTGAGGAAACTATGAAATGAATAAATTTTCCCGTTTCATCGGTTTCAGATTGCATTCATCATTCTATATCAAGATTTTGTCGCTTTCATTGAAACAAAACAATTTACAATAATTTACTGATTGATAATGCTCAAGCTAACAGAGCATTGAAACACCTAATTTACCTTCATTTGAATGGATCCAAAACTGTGGTAGTGGATCCCAACTTGGGTTAGATTGGGTTGTCAATGAAATTGGAATTTCCCAGCGTTCTTTAGATTCGATTGAGTTGTTCAATGAGAGTAAAAACCTATTCTGAGTCAATTTTCCAGCCTTTTTACCAGCTCCGTAAGAACGGGTCAATGTGACCAAAGGGAATCCAACTTGAAGAGCCCAAGAGTCCATTACTTTTTTAACAGGAATAACACTTTTAGATGAATTGTTTTGTGCAATGGTCAGGTGATGCCAGAGGTCATCTTGTTCAGCATTTTTAAAAGCTAAAGCTTTCAGATACGTCTGAGAAAGAAAAATAAAGAAACTTGTGTTAAACCAAAAATCAAAAAACATTGATAATCATTTGACTTACCGATACTCCTTCACGGAAAACCTTGTCTCCTAATGTGTATCTCATCATTCTGATGAGAGATGCACCCTGAAAGTAAACGAAAAAGATTAGTCTTTGATTTAAATATGGAATATGTATCTTACCTTTTCGTAAGAGATTCGGTCGAAAATCTCATTAATTTCGTCAGGATCACTGACTTTTACCGAGATTGGATGCGATGAAGTTAAACAGTCCAGTTCGAAAACCACTTGAATTCCTTCAATTATAAATGCATCATGCTTAATTCAAAATAAAAGACAGAGAAATGCAAATTAATAAGTGAAAAATTATCAATCCAGATCAGAGGATTAATAGAGAAATTGATAATTTAATTTGAATTCATGCCTTGAAAACATGGATAAAACATGAGGAAAATAACTTCCAAATAAAAATTTAGAACAAAATTACGTTTCTTCCAATAATGAATACTCTGTTATTAAGGTTCCTATGTTTCTTCTTCTTCCATGATTAGCACCTGAATTCTGATCTCAATCTGACTTTACACCTAGAATAAAATTGCTGATTTAATTTACTATTGAAAACTTTCTTTAAAATTCTTTTGGTTCGGAGCATTATCTGAATGCAAATTTAATGGTTAAAACATCAACTCATTTTACGAATGAACAAAAACCAAGAAATTTAATTTGATTATTTTTCTTTACTCTTTCAGTGTTTTCTGAGTAAACATTTTCGCCATTTTCCATTATCTTGTGATCTTTTGTTCCTTTCTCATCTTTAGTCAGCTAATTGAAAAATGTTTGAGTTGGAAGATTGACTTTTGAAAATGAAACCAACTACAAATGAAATGTATCTTTTTTAATTAGGTTAGTGTGTGGTGGGTTAAAGTTAATCATGACAATTGACTGATTCAAAAAGAAATGAAACAAAAATTTAATAATTACCGTCCTCCATTCCGGATGAACACTATTAACACCTTCATATTCCATGTAAGTAGCAAATCCTTCATTTAACCAAAGATCGTCCCACCATTTAGGTGTAACCAGATTACCAAACCACTGGTGAGCCAATTCATGGGCGACTACATCAGCAACCTGTTTTTTAGTAAATATTGAGGCACTTGATGGATCAAAGAGCATTGTTGTTTCACGATATATTATGATTCCCCAGTTTTCCATGGCTCCAGCATTGAAATCAGGAACGGCAATCATGTCTAAAAAAGAATTGGAAATGAGTTAAAATGTCAATTTACCTCACATTTTATCGCAGGTTTAAGATAAAATCAATTAATTTAAAAACACTAAAAGTTTTACGGTCAAAATCGAATCTCTCCTTTCGGATAACATCATAATCTCTTTAATGTTATATCGTGTTTCAAAGAGTTGACAAATTTTTAGTTTACTTAACTGACCAAAGGCTTGTAAATAATTCAACCTGAAATAACTATCAAAGTTTATCAAGAGGCTCTTCTTGATGTATCATAATTATAATCAGTAGAAGGGTTTTTTGGTTTTTTCATGAGGCAAAAGTGCGTGAGCGAATGAGCCTAAGTATAATTTGCTAGAAAATAAAATTTCATTGCAAAATCTGACTAATGAATATTTGACTAATGCATTAAATTGATCTTCATTTTTAATTCATGATTATATTTCGACATTTCATTGTAACATCACTATCTTTAGGAAAATGAAATGATTTTAAACTTCACCAAGTGACTTATAACTGTCCCAACAAATAACCTAGCTATCCTAGTAAACCAACTATCTTACGATATCGTTAGATAACTTTTTGAATGAGCATCGCTTAACCTTGTGTGAATCGGTTTCGTCAAGAAAAAACTGCTGTTATTGTTATTGCTGAGTTATGCTGATATAAGTTTGAAACATTAACAGGAATCAACAATCCACTTTACCTGTTTTGGGCAGTGGATAACCAATATCGAAGAACTTTTCATAATGTTGTAAAATCTTGGGTCCAATTGAAAGTGCAAATTTTCTCGATTCCCTTGTACCTGGACGGCCCCAAACTCCAAAAGATCGATTACCTTCCTATCAAGTCAAAATAAATACAATTTCAATTAATTTGAATAGACAGAAGTTATATCCATTTACCTTGACAGTGTCATTTTCAAGATTACCAACAACAAAACCCAATAGATAAGTCGACATGTTAACCGATGGACTGAATCGAGTTTCCGTCCATTCGCCTCTAAAGTATGACAAGGAAAATATTAGCAAACATTAAAATGCTTGACTTTGATCAGAAAAACTCATTTTTACCTATGAATTGTTTCCATGACTGGCATGTTCGACAATGCTGTCAAGTTACTCAAATGAACCAAAGTAATGTTGAATATCGATTTAAGTGCTGGCTCATCGAAACAAGGGAAAGCTCGTCGTGCATCCGTCGGTTCAAATTGGGTTGTGGCAATCCATCTAAAGAGCAAAAAGAAACATCAAAAGGCCAAAGATTAGAATCGAATCAAACTCAGACTGAATTGGTGATTGAAAAGGATATAAATCATGAAAGACAAGAGGCATAAAAACCCAAAAATCTAGGTTTACTTTAGCAAAATGATGAATCAAGAAATAATGAGATTTTTGCATTATTTTTAGACATGAATTTGTCAACTGAAATGTTATGAATCGACGTTGAAGCTTGTCTAATCAATCAATTATTTTGAATTGGAAAAGCTTCAAACAACTCAACAATTAATGTTCAATTTAATGGCAATATTTATGCATTGAAATGGTTAGCTTGGTCAAGTGATTAACCAACAAGACTAATGGTTGTTGAAATGTCGTTTCATGATTAATTTAATCATTGATTAACATTTTGAATATCAATGACTTAAGGTAAAAAATTAAATATTCATTTCCTCAGGGTTAACTCATCAAAACCCACACCTTTGACCTGAAAGTAAAATTTAAAAACAATCAATTAATGATGATAAAAGCATCTAAAAGGTTTAAATCAATAACAACTAATATTAGGTCAATTGATGGTTATTTTTAGATTAAATGGTTCAAATGTTAGTTATCGAGTTAATTTGATCAAAAACAAATATTGAAGCAGCCACAATTGGCCGGTAAAAGAGTTTAATAACCTTAATTGTCTGACCAGAAAATTGTCAAAACTAACTGATAATCAAATCTATTTTTCAATTTCCATATTTTCAATCTGTTGCATGACTCTAACCAAACATATTACAAATGGTAATGACAATGAAACAGTAAACATTGAAATTACGTGTTAAATGGATGCAATTTAACAGGTAAAATTAGTAATTGTTGGTTAAATTAATACAATTAAACTGGCAACCTTGATAGTCAACAATTGAATGTTAAATACACAGAAAGAGATAAAAAAATTGGGTTTAATTGTTGAAATAGCAATTTGATGGGAAAAAGCTATTCTAATACATTTTCACATTCAATTGGCTAATTAAATTGGCTACAATTATCCTGAAAGTTGAGAAATTTAAACAACAATAAAATTGCTATTAACTAATCACAGTCTCTATCAATAATTAATTAAAGGCTACGGAAAAATGAACCAATTGTGTCTCTAACAATGCAAATAAATGATGACAACGCCTGGAGGAGTTTATGGTTAACCTGTTGATAAAAGTAAATTAATTGTCCTCTTCAAAGACCATAATTAACTATTCAAATGGCAAATATTGTACTTGATTGGAAAGCTTGAAAACTGACCAATTTAATGTTGAGAAGATTAGTGATAATTTAATTTCCATTACAATTGCAGTTGATTAAAAGATGAAGCAATTGGATCGCACAATTAACTTTGGGTTGGTTTTCAAAGAGTATTGAATATATTACAGAAAAATGGTGAAAATTTCATGATTAGCAATTAATTAGCTTCAGTAATAATGGTAAGCAAAAATCAATCAAATTAAGTGTATTTTAGAGCTCATTTTTTTCTCTTATTGATTAACAAGCTTAAGAATTGGAATTAACTAAATGCTAATTTAAAGGGAGTGTTGTTGATCTGATACTTGTGGGTGTTAATTGTTCAATAATTGTGATTAAAATGAAAGAAATTAAACACTTTTCAATGCATTCAGAAATTAAGTAATCCATTTGAAAAGGTTAATAACTCGACTTGGATTCAATCTCAATGAGTTAATCGAGCCAATTTATTGATTAACAATTATTAGCCATCTGATTATTTTGATTTCTAATGGCATAATTTTAACAATTATAACTGTCGAATGATTGGTCAAGTTTCTTTGATTCAGTTATTAAATGAGTTACTGGATGACTTCATTGCAATCAATGAAAATGAAATGAAAAAAAGGATTTTGTGATTAAACAGAAGTATAAATTGTTGTTGAAGAAAAAGTTGAATCAGTTTAATCACACTGATTACTTGGATTGATAAAAGATTTATGATTCCAAAAAATTGATATTTTCACTAAAAAATTGAAAATGTATCAATTTTCAGTTGATTGAAAAATGAAATGAAATGGATGAAGCAAAATATCAATTGAAATGAAATCGAAAGTAAGAAACATTGTTAACTGTTTAACAAAAAGCGTTGATTATGATGATTATGATGATACAAATTAGTTAGGTGAGGCTAATTGTTGATTTGAACCAATTATCAATTGAGATCAGAATTAACAAGTTAATCGGTGCGAATCAACAAACACTAAATGATATTAAACAATATATACATGTTATAACGTCTAATGGTGGCGACAATTAACAATTTTAGCCGAATAGTTAAGGTTACTATCAATTTGGGTGAGAGAATGTAAAGTGTTGAGTAAAAGTGTTGGAGAATACAAAATTGAATAACAATTAAGTTTGATAATAATGCAAAATAATTACCTTTTTTGGTTAGTATTTGTATCATTGTATGAGCTACGATAAAATCCAGCCAAATCTTTATTCAGATTTCCCAAAAATTTTATTGACAGTGAATAACTGTTACCGGCGACAAGTTGATTGTTCAAGTAAATGATAAAGAAATCATTATCCTTTTCAATTGCTGTAGATACAAGTTGAGGGTTGATTGTTGTTCCCTTTGAATCACCAATTGCCCTGATTGACCGTGATTTGGGTAGGAAAAAAGATGATGATCCATCATCACTTTCATCTTGTTTACTCGGGCTTGATGGTTCCTCTTTCTTTGGGTTAAAGGTTAACCTTTCCACCTTGATACTTTCATTGTAGATGGTTAAATTATTGGCATGAAGGGTAATACGATCAGTTGATTCACGAACATCCAAAATAATTTTTACCTGTAATGATGAGAGAAAAAAAGAAGGGGAAATGATTAGAAGAGCAAAAATTAATAGATTGGGTTAATGTAAGCTTTGATATAATAACATACTGACATGAAGAAAAAGTTATTCACAAATTGTTGGTGAGCTTGTATTGATTGGAAAAAAATTTACTCTGATTGGGTAATTGGAGATACAGGTAAGAATGGTTTCGACTATCATAAGGTAAGGTTTCGTACCAATCTTGCCTTTTTAAAACACTTTTCTGGGAAACTCATACTAGACATATTCACCTTGATATCAACTTACTGATTAGATCCAAATTGTGTGTTCACTTGTTCAACTAATTAAGTTGAAACTATAATTTTTGGTTGACTATTCAACGATTGAAACAATGTAAAGGGTAAGGGAAAAGTTGACGGTTTACTCTACTCTTTGTCACTTGAAATTTTCTTTTAATATTGAAATTTGTTATTTGATATTTACTAGTTAATGATGATGTAGTGAATGTAATGAAAATTAACCATTAAAAACAAAAAGGGTTAAACTTACATCACCAGCAAAGGTAAAGTTGTCAGGAATAATGAACGGTTGTAATTTAATCGCGTACGAAGTTGGCACAATGGCGGTTGGAAGACGAGCTGCTGGTGTCTTCTTACGAGGATTACTTGTTGAATCAGATGATAAAGATTTGATTAAAGATGAAGATGATGATATTGCACCCTGAATTGGGTTCAATTGATTGGTACAAATGGGTAACAAATGAAATAAAAGAAGTGTAAATATCACGAGACCGGATAGAATCAATGAAGCAATTAAAATGAGAGTCCAACGAGGAAGAAATATTCCTTTGGTTCGGTCAAAGCTTATAGTTGATTCATTTAAACCATGGGTTGATGAAGATGATTGCAATTTATTGTTGCTCCGATTGTTAACACAAAATTCACCCAGATCCATATCCAGCTTTTCTCGGCTACTTTCATTCATCATTGAATATCGAGAAAGGAACCATGAAAGGCGACCAAACCACCAGTAAATGTAATGACACTTTGATGATAAAAATTAACACCAATCGGGTAATCCACTTGCTTTATGAGATCACAAAGAAAGTATACAGTCGAGTCTATGTGAAAAACCAGGGCTTCTCTTTACTCCATCCAAATTCAAAACAAGATCAACAGTGGATACAATAAACTGGTGATAATGTTACAATGATTGTGCTGGTAGCTTTTGTGGCGGTGGCGATGTTTTCAATCTAAAAATAAGTTGGAAAAATAAATTGATAGATTAATTCAATACATTCAACAATTTGTAACCAATCAAGAAATGAACACAAATCCACAGAGTGTTAAGAGATAAACAATAACCACAACATGAAAAACCACTTCAAGGTAAACTTTAAGTCTTAAATTACTCAGTGAGATTGTAAAGAGAGCGAAATGAACAAAATAGGAGGTTTCTCAGGTTTCTCAGATCAGAAGGTTTTAATATTAAATTTAATGTTGTACATGATACATACCATAAGCGATGACAATTAAAATTAATATCAATAACAGTTGCACTACAATTTAAAGATGTGAAACCAAAACCTAAAATAATGTAACTGGAAAAAGGAAAACACTGGAAGCGTTCAAATTAACATATGTTTAGGAGATTGTAAAGCCACCACAGGAAAAGTAGCACTTTTAATTGTTCGGATTAACAGTTGAAATGAATTAATCAACCAACTGATTTGTTGGTTGTTAACTTTGATTGTGACGAGTGATCCAAGTCATGAAGATTACTTGTAATAAAAGGGAGAGACCAGAAAAAAAGAGAGCGAGAACCAAGAGAGAACCAAGTGAGCGTGTTTGCAAGCCCAACAAGTGGATACAGTATTTGAGTGAAAAAAAGTGATTTGAGATAGAAAGAGAAAACAGGAGAAAAAGAAAGAGAAAGCAACTGAACTGAATTGAATTTAACTTGAAATTTTCACTTTTATCAAACACAGAAAAAATGGAAAACGATAAAATTGAAACGAAAAAAAACAGTGAAAAAATAAATTTTACATTTCCCTCCTTTTTTGCTTGTGATGTCATGTTGACCAACAGTTTCATATGGCGGGAGCTATTTTTATTTGGATTATTTTTACCCAATGAGGAAACCTAAAAATTAAATTAATATACCAAATTTTATTGTTTTATATGTAAATTTACATAATTACGTGATGATCATTGAAATTATTTTCAATTTACATGATATATTTAAGCTTCAATTAAGCTCTGGTTTCACCAGATTTACATTTACTTAGGTTTACATCAACCAGACTCTTTAATATTTCATACAAGTTCAACTCTCTTTTTTTTATTGTAATGCACTTTCTATGACTTGATTGTAATGCAAATAATGTTTTGTAAATACTTGATTTAATGATAAAATGGACAATTTGATACTCTAACGAGGAAAAGTATTCATTTAAAATTGATTGTAATTGATTCAATTCCACAAAATCATCAATTTACATTGCAATCCTAATCTTTTTCAAGATTCATTTAAAATTCATATCTGCTAATGATGTTGATATGGTGCTAATGGTTCTTTAGCGTTTAAATAACCAATATTTCATTGAACAGAGATTCTGAGTAAATTTAAATTCAGACAAAAGCTGGTTGACTAAACTATTAACCAAGCAAAGTTACCCAAAATTACAGAACCCAATTATATCGGGTTACATAGATATCATTAGAAGCAAAATTATTTTCAAGATCAATGTTTACAAGGTTATCCGATAACATGGACTTGACCAGAACATTTAAATTGACCGAAAAGGCCAATTTAAACATTTACATGTCATTAATTTGAATGGTAAATTATCAAATTACAATAAATAAACCAGTTAATGATCAATATGTATTGACAGTAAAAAGTGTCATCTTTCCCTTTCCTGGTTAACTGCGGATATTTGGGTAAATGGGTAATTGGTTTGAATCGTGATCAAGATAAGGGTTTATTGTCACGTTGATGGCTAGTTAATTACTAGATCAAAGGTTTAATTAAATTTTGAATCAATTTGTTAATCTAAATTTGGGTTTTTATTTGATGAAACCTCATTAAATCCAAAATTGGGTTCAATGAAGGTATGGGTAAAATTGGGTTTCTCCTCTTGTTATTGCTATTGTTTTTTTGGGTTAAAACCCTTTAGAGATTAATTACCAATATTATCAATATCAACTCTGGTTATTTGGTTGATTTTTATCAATTAATCAGATAATTCTAAATATAATTGCTGCACAATCTGTGGAGTAATCAATGATTAACCCAATAATTGAGAGTCTTTACCAATCCATACATTGAACATAATGGCTACTGTGTCCCTGGAAACAAATGGTTTAATTTAACAATTAACTACTCACGTAATTGGCTATTGTTGCTAATTTATGCTGATTACAATTAGACAATTGTATAATTCAATCACAAATCAAGAGTAGCCATTGTTGATCAAGTCTGATGCAAGAGACGCAAACACTTGATTAATCTGAAAGTGTAACCCAAAAACATGTGTTTTTGTTCAATCCAATACAATAAGTAAATGGTAGATTGTTGATTGAATCATGTTTAATTGTTTATTGAATTAAGTAAACTCAAGAATCAAGAAAAGTGTCGCTGATAAAGGCAATCAATGTTATTGTAATGCAAATCTGGTAAAAATTTTCATCGCTCAACATTGTGTGAAACTTGGTTTCTTTAGTTGCAAAAAGGCTTCAGTTTATTATTTGATATTGTTTGTGAACAGCGAGATTGAATGATAAATTGATTGTGAATATTTGCATCAACTAAACACAATTATTATTGATATTTGCAGCTAAATATTGGCTTCATAAATATAAATTTAAGATGAGATGAACGTTGTCGATAAAAAAGGTACAGATTTTACGATTGTTGTACACGGTTTGAGATGAGCTTGAGTTTTGGTGAATCAGTTAAGATTGAGAAGGATTTACGCAAATTGAATTTAACAAGAAATGTGTTTTTAACCGTTAAATGACAAATTAAATCATTGGTCTTACCTTTCGATCGCAAGACAATTCGATCAAGCTATTAAATTATTAATTCTATGACTAATCTCTAATCAGTTGCCTGATTTCTTGATGTAGGTGCTTCATTTGTGAACTGAAAACTTGAATTGCGATTTTAATCAAGTATCTGATGGCCATTTACAGCTAATTTCATCTCTTTAGCTACGAAAGTTTCAACTAATCAGTGAAATAATTTTTTCTCGCAGACTTGTTGAAGTTTCAAGTTAATATTAGATTTGTTAATGAAACAATAATATTGATTTTTATTCTTGAATTTCATTTCCCAAAGATCGAATTAGATTGGAATTTTTATAAGCAGGAAATCAGTTTTCACTCTCGAATGTTTAGTTAAGATCATTTGATATTGATAGAGTTAGTGTTAATAGATTAATTAATGTAAGAGTTTATTTGTTAACCATGATACAAATGATTCCCTAATTCGGTTAAAATTATTTACGATTAGCTGTTAGCCATATTAGACAATGTTAACTAAACAAGCTTAAGTTGACTTACAAGCTGACTTGTTAGATGATGAATGATGAGAAATACAAACAGAATACAAATTATTTCAAAGTTTAGTCACTAAATTTTGATTCATGTTAATCAGCAATCACATCCAGAAAATCGCGGAATCAGTTGCACATTATCCAATGGAGTCGATTGAATCGATTATTCGCTGATTCGGCTAACTGCGACCTCTAGTAAAGCAACTCAAATCTTTATAAACACATTTTTAACTTTGAACATTTGCTTACACGAGTCAAAAAGATTTGGGTATTTTTTCATTCTTATTGCAATGAGGAAAAGAAAGCGTTTATTGTCCAGACCAATCATCTCTACGGTATTTGGACTTACCTAGTGTCGACTCCCTCAAAGGATATGATTCGAACACCAAGTATGGACATTAACAGTCTAAAAATAAAAACATAATGCGATGGACTCCTGCAAATGAAACAATTGTTCGTAACTTACTTACAATACAGCTTATTGAAAGATAAAATTATTGAATTCGATTGAAACCTTTCTGCGGTCAAAATCAGAGGGAAAGTTGTTCTAAACAAATATGAATCGATTGAGAAAATAATAAAGCATTTATACACGATCTTAAAAGGACAATAAATCGTATTATGCAGCTTCTACACGGTAATTTGCAACGATCGATTAGCTAGAGTAACAACAGTTTTGAAGGTACTTCTCGAAAAAAACAGGATATTGATGAACGAATTCCTGGTAAACAGGATCTTGGTAACCATGCATTTGAACAATGCATGATTTGTAATGTAAGGATGGTAATGTTATATCTAGAGATGCGATCTTATTTCAATATTTGCAGTTTGTGGGATCGGCCCTTTAGGCTCAATAAATGGTCTACTCTGGTTAGAAGGGTTGGCAGTAATTATTTTTTTAAATTAAGATTCATGTTATCAGTAATTGCTTCATTCAGCATTTGCAATAACAGTGCCTCAACTAAATGTTTAGCAGTTCGATTTGAATCGCAACCAACAACCATTGACCATTGAATTAGCATCATATCCAAACATCAAGTGCTATGATCATCAATGAATTAGACGTGCATCAATTGTGCCGAACTAGGGACAATAATGTTTCATTGGAAGGACCAAAGAGACTTGGATATCTTTCAAGTTCTGACTCTGAAAATAATAGTGCTTTTAGTCAAGATAAATTAGCCCTACGGTACTTGGACTTTCCTGATCCAGTCAATATCGATTGCCTTCAAGGATACGATCCAAATGTCAAGTATGGCCATTTTATATCAAAAGATACGCTCTTACTCCGATGGATTTTGGAAAATGAAGAAACAATGCAAAAGTTTCCTTCGGATTTCATTGGTAACAATGGTGTAATTAAAGATTTGATGACCATAAAGGATTATGTTTACGATTGGAGCCTTTCTGCCATCAAAATCAGAGGGAAAATTATATTAAATAGAGTTGAATCGACAGAAAAAAAGACAAGAATAGACAAACAATCTGAATCAGTCAACAAATCAACTTACGCAGCTTTCAATTTTCCGAATTTGATTACCAAGAGTAAAAGTGAACAAGAAGGAACTTTATTTTATGGTGTTTTTCATTCAAAAATTGGGTCGCATCGGATACTTCACACAGGAAAGCTACACTATGTTGAAAGTGCACAAGAACTGGATAAACCATTCGACGAAATGAAGTTTGTTTCAATTAGAAAGATGCATGTTCTGGGTAATTGCCCTTCATCTATTCAAGCTAACAACTGGTGGTCATTGGCTACCCTTTCTGGAATTGATACAATCGTTTGCGCTAAATGTGCACGAGATTTTACAGTTGCAAAAATCGAGAAGTTACGCGTGGACGATTTGATCGATAAACACAAACAAATGATATTCGTTGCTTCATTAGATTCAATTCTAGATCATTTAAAGTCAATCGTTACAGAAGAGAATCAATATTACGACTTTCATTTCAATGGTAAGGAAAAAAAGTTTATTGGATGCTTGAAAATGGATCTAGAGGATAACCTGATTCCATCATGGTATATTGATGGCCAAATTCCTAATGGATCTTGCTAATCATTCATTTGAACATTTAAAAGATTTAAGCCGCAACGAAAGTTTAGCTTCTAACACAATGCAATAAAAAGTTTAAACTTCATCTTTTCTAGTTTCTGTAATAACAAATTATAACAAATTCTTGCTTTGCAACTACTAGAACATGTATTTATTTCATGTAATAACTATTATTGAATAAAAATGTACACCTGGTAATAACAATATTGAAAACAGTTTCTTCTTTTGTAATTTAAGTATGGTTAGGTTAATCTAGAGATGCGATCTTATTGCGATATTTGAAGTTCGTGGGAACGTCTCTCTAGATTCAATAAATGGTCTACTCAGGTTAAAAGAATGACTATTAATTATGATTAGCTTTACTTACATTACGATTCATGTTATCAGCAATTAATCCATCTACGATTTAAACTAACAGCTAGCAACTATTCGCAAGTATTGTTAATATACTCCAATAGTTCACAACTCAAGTCTTTTTAAGCTATTTACTGTTAAAATATCGCTTGCTGATACCACTTGAAGTTCAAATCGAACATATTTGTGCGTCTAAATGTTTCTAAATCAACCTACCATGCAGCGAGATGAGTTACATGTAAATCTATCATCTGTCATAGCGGACCAAAACATTTGTTTGGAGGGACCAAAAAGACTTGGATATTTTTCGTTCTATTGCAATGCTGGAAATGAAAGTGTTTACTGTCCAGACCAATCATCTTTACGGTACTTGGACTTACCTAATCCAATCTATATCAACGCCCTCCAAGGATATGACAAGAACATCAAGTATGGTCTTAGACGATCCAAAAACAAACAACTATTACGATGGATTTTGCAAAATGAAACAATTGTGCGTAACTTTACACACGATTTCATCTGTTCCAATGGTGTACTGAAAGATATAATGATTTTTCCGTACCGTTCTTATGGTCGTTTTGGTTCTAATTACGGTCTTACATCTATGAACATTTCTGCTGTCAAGATTAGAGGAAAAATTATATTAGATAGATGCGATTCGACTGCGAAAAAAATGCGAATTGATGTACAATCAGAAAGGGACAACTTATCGACTTATGCAGGTTTCAATTTACAACGTTTGATTACCAAGAATAACAACCATTCTCAATGTGCTTCTGGAAAAGAAAATGATTCATTTTATGGTGTTTTTCACTCAAACATTGGTACTCATGGAATAATTCATGCTGGATATTTGGACTGTGTTGAGAGTCAAAAAGAAATGGATAAACCTTTCGATGAAATGAAGTTTGTGCTTATCAAAAAGCATAATGCTCCGAAACGAAATAAATATAACGAATATGACGAAACTTCACATCCCTCTAAATATGACGAAACTTGGTGGTCATTGGCTACTCTTGCTGGCGTTGATACAATTATTCATGCTAAATGCGAACAAGGTTTTAGGGTAAAAAACATCAACAAAATAATTGTAAGCAATATTATTGATAGAGAAAGACAAAAGCAGCTTCTCACTACATTGAACAAGGTTCTTGATTTCGTCAAGTCAATTGTTAAAGTTGAAAACCAATATTATAACTTTTATTTCAATTGTACGAATCGAAAGTTGACTGGATACATGAGAATTGATTCCATTGACATTATCATTCCCTCATGGTATACGGATGGACAACTGCCCAATGAATCTTAAACAAAGAAAATTGTCGATAAATTGATCGATCTTTGTCGTTCACAAATCATTTCTAACGATCAAAAACAAGTTTTGATTTTGATTTCGATTTTCTCGAAAACTGTCTCTCGGATGAATTTTTAAGTAACTACAAACCCATAAGTCTCAACTCGAAGATCCAATTTTATGCATACTCCTTTCACTTCTAATTTTGCGATTCTTCAAAGCCAAAACATAAAGAATCCCACTGAAATAATTAGAAATCCGATTTTGACGCTCTCATCTATTTAAGTTCACTTTTATTTTCATAGACAAGGATGAAAAGTTGATTGCATTATGAAGCTACAGATCAAATCAGCGTATATTGATGTAAAATTTGCTAGTAAATCTCAATAAACACTCATTTTACAATTTCATTGCTGTTTTGTATTTTATTAAATTTTATAACTCAATTATTCAATCGTTTTTTAACTTTGAAATGTCATTGATTGAAACTAATTTCGTGCAAAAAGAGTTGGACCTAAAATGTGCCAAAACAAACCATGACCTTTGTTTGGAGAGACCAAAGAAACTTGGATATTTCTCGATCTATCGCAATGATGATAAAGAAAGTGTTTATTGTCCAGATAAATCAGCTCTAGCGTATTTGGACTTACCTGATCCAGTCTCGATCAACTGCCTCCAAGGATATGATCCAAATAACAAGTACGGATATCAGCGGTCAAAAAAACAAAAACTTATTGCAATGGATTCTGGAGAATGAAGCAATTGTGAGTGACTTAAATTACGATTTCGTCTGCAACAATGGTGTATTGAAAGATATCATGACTTCTCCGTATCAAAATTTGGATTGGACCCTTTGTGCTGTCAAAATCAGAGGGAAAATTGTCCTTAATAAAATTGCTTCGAATGAGGAAAAGGAAAGCATTGAAGCACGATCTGAAAATGACAACAAATCGATTTACGCGGCTTTCAATTTACAACGTTTGGTTGTCAAAAACAACAATCGTTCTGAATTTACTTCTGGCAAAGAAACTGATTCGTTCCATGGCGTTTTCCACTCAAACATAGGGTTTCATGGAGTACTTCATGCTGGATATTTGAACGATGTTGAAAGCAAACAAGAACTGGATAAATCATTTGACGAAATGAAGTTTGTTTTGGTGAAAAAGTTTAATGCTCCAAAGGAATCACACTCATTTTTTCATGCTAACACTTGGTGGTCATTAGCTATTCTTTCTGGAATTGATACAATTTTCCGTGCTAAATGTGAACAAGATTTATGGTTAAAAGTATCGATAAATTGCAAGTTGACAGTCAGCTCTAGCGTATTTGGACTTACCTGATCCAGTCTCGATCAACTGCCTCCAAGGATATGATACAAATAACAAGTACGGATACCAGCAGTCAAAAAATAAAAACTTATTTCGATAGATACTTGAAAATTATGCACAACTTAATGATTGCATCTGTAATGTTTATTATGATTTCGATACGAACCTTTCTGTGGTTGAAATCAGAGGGAAAGTTATTCTAAATAAGCAAGAATCAATTGAGATGAAAGAAAAGATTGATACACGACCTGAAAGAGAAAACAAACCAACGTATGCAGCTCTTAATTTGCAACGTTTCATTACGAAGTACAACAATCGTTTTGAATGTACTTCTGGAAGAAAAGAAGAGTCATTTTATGGTGTTTTCCCTCAAAAATTGGGTCTCATCAAATATTAAATTGACGATATTTGGGCTGTGAATAGACTAAACAAAAAATGAACAAACCAATGGACGAATCGTAGTTTAGTCTAGTTAATTTGACCAAAAAGTCCAATGCTGAGAGAATCACAGTCTTCTTAAAGTAACAGAATCATCTGATCATTAGAAGTGATCATTAGAAACACTTGCTAGAGTTGTTACATTTATCCGTGCTAAATGTGATTAAGAATTTATTTTTAAAAATATCGATAAGTTGGAAGTTGAGTCAACTTCGTCAACAATCTGGTATTGAATAATTCTGAATCTTCTGAGCTTTTTCGCGATTCTAACATTAAAATGTAAAGTCATAAAAACTTTGAAACTAATTTTATTTTTTTGCATATTCAAGTAATAATTACAGCTATTTTCATATAAATAGAGGTAGCTTTTCATTTAGCATGGATTCATTTTGCAAATAATACTTGTCTTAATACAATAATTAATTGCGTGAAAACCTGTGTCTAAATAGAAAATTCCATTTGAATCGAAACCACAACCATTGACCATTGAATTAACATCATATTTTCGACTATTCAAACATCAAGTGCAATGATCATCAATGAATTAGACGTGCATCAATTGTGCCGAAATAGGGACAATAATGTTTCACTGGAAGGACCAAAGAGACTTGGATACTTTTCATGCTATGATAATGATGATAATAGTGATTTCAGTCAAGATAAATCAGCCTTACGGTACTTGAACTTACCTAACCCAGTTTCTATCGACTCCCTCCAAGGATATGATTCGAACATCAAGTATGGTCACTTTATATCAAAAGATATGTTCTTATTGCGATGGATTTTGGAAAATGAGGCAACAATGCAAAAGTTTCCTTCGGATTCCATCAGTAACAATGGTGTGATAAAAGATTTGATGACCATAAAGGACTATCATCAAGATTGGTGCCTTTCCGCAATCAAAATCAGAGGGAAAATTATATTGAACAGATTTGAATCGAAAGCAAAAAAGAATCGAATAGACACACAATCTGAATCAACGAACCAATCAACTTATGCAGCTTTCAATTTCCCACGTTTGATCACCAAGAGTAGAAGTGAACAAGAAGGAACTTTATTTTATGGTGTTTTTTATTCAAAAATTGGGTCTCATCGTATACTTCACACAGGAAAGCTGCATTGTGTTGAAAGTAAACAAGAACTGGATAAAACATTCGACGAAATGAAGTTTTTTTCAATAAGAAAGATCAATGCTCTGGCGAATTACCCTTCGCCCATTCAAGCTAACAAGTGGTGGTCATTGGCTACTCTTTCTGGAATTGATACAATCGTTTGCGCTAAATGTGCACGAGATTTTACAGTTAAAAAGATCTATAAGTTTCACGTAGACAATTTGATCAATGAACATAAACAAAGGATGTTTGTCTCTTCATTAGACTCGATTCTCGATCATTTAAAGTCAATCGTTACAGAAGAGAATCAATATTACGATTTCCATTTCAATGGTAAGGAAAAAAAGTTTATTGGATGCTTGAAAATGGATCTAGAGGATAACCTGATTCCATCATGGTATATTGATGGCCAAATTCCTAATGGATCTTGCTAATAATGCATTTGAACATTACGTCTCAACATTTAAAAGACTTAAGAAGCAACGAAAGTTTAGCTTCTAATTTATTAAGTACTTGTGAGATGTGTAGTCCATTTTATGTAATAGCTATCATTGAAATATTAAATATATTAAAATAACGATATTAAAAACAGTTTCCTCATTTGTAATGTAAGTATGGTTAAAGTTATATCAAGAGATGCGATCTTGAAGTTTTTGGGATCACCTCTCTAGATTGAATGAATGGTGTACTCAAGTTAAAAGAATGACTAGTAATTATTATTATGTTTACTTGAATTACGATTCGTTTTATCAGCAATTGACTCATCCATCGGGTGTTAAATAACAGCAGCTAAGCTAATTGTTATAAAATCAACTATTTACTGATATTATTCATAAACTCGTAACTCCAATAGTTAACAACCCAAGTCTCATTAAGCTATTTACTGTGAAGATATGGTTTTTGTACTAACGTTAGAAAGTGAATATTGAAAGCAAAAATACGAGTGAATCTTTTCGTTTAAATGTTTTTAAGTCAACCTACCTTGGTACATAAAGAGTTGGATCTAGAATATGTCTATACGGACCATGATATTTGCTTGAAAGGACCAACAAGACTTGGATTTTTCTCGTTCTATTGCAATGATGAAAAGGAAAGTGTTTATTGCCCAGACAAATCATCTTTACGGTACTTGGACTTACCTAATCCACTCTATATCAACTCACTCCAAGGATATGATCCAAACGCCAATTATAGACATAAAAAGTCAAAAAATAAAAACTTGTTGCGATGGATTCTTGAAAATGAAACAATTGTTCGTAACTTTACTTACGATTTCATCAGTAATGATGGTGTATTGAAAGATATTATGACTTCTTCATATAATGATTTCGATTGGAACATTTGTGCTGTCAAAATCAGAGGGAAAATTGTTCTAGCTAGAAATACTGTTCTAAATAGAATAGCTTCGTTTGAAAAAGAAATTCAAATTGATGCTCGATCAGAAATGGACAACAAATCGCTTTACGTAGCTACTAATTTGCAACGTTTGATTACCAAGAACAACAATCATCCAGAATTTGCTTCTTGGAAAGAATATTATTGCTTTTATGGTGTTTTCCACTCAAACATTGGTTCTCATGGAATAATTCATGCTGGATATTTGGATTGTGTCGAGAGTCAAAAAGAAATGGATAAACCTTTTGATGAAATGAAGTTTGTGCTAATCAAAAAGCACAACTCTTTGAAATTGTCATATTCATCTTTGCAAGCTTACGTTTGGTGGTCATTGGCTACTCTTGCTGGAGTTGATAAAATTATTCATGCTAAATGCGAACAAGACTTTAGAGTAAAAAATACCAATCAGTTAATTGTAAGCAGAATGCTTCCTAGAGAAAGACAAAAGCAGCTTTTCACTACATTGAACTTGGTTCTTGATTTCGTCAAGTCAATTGTTAAAGTTGAAAACCAATATTATAACTTTTATTTCAATTGTACGAATCGAAAGTTGACTGGAAACATGAGAATGGAACCAAATGACAATATCATTCCATCTTGGTTTATTGATGGACAACTTCCCAAACCTTAACTGGCAGTGGAAAAAAATGTGCGATCGGTGGTGTTAATACTTGTTAATGTTTCAAGTTAATATTAAAACTATCAAGATGGTGTCAAAGACAAACTTTTATAATAAAAATACAGTAACCGATCATTCAGGTTTTCACTCTCGAATGTTTAGATCATTAGATAGTCATATTCACCAGGATTTGCTAATTTGGTTAAAATTAATTAACGATTGACTGTTAGCCGACTTAATCAGTGCAACTCGAGTTGACTAAGAGTAGTAAAATGATGAATGATGAGAATTTGAATGCCAGCTATGTAATGATTTAGTCACGTAGTTGTGATTCATGATACCAGCAATCAGTCCATCTAGCCTTCAATAAACGTTGACAGCTAAGCTGAATATTATGGAGTCAACTATTCGCTAATACGGCTGACTAACATCTTTAATTAAAATGATTAGTGAACAACTCGAGTCTCTAAAAGCCATTTTCTGTTGATATAAAACCATTTCTTATTTATATTCAATTTATAACTCAATTATTCAATCGTTTTTAACTTTGAAATGTCGTTAAGTGAAGATACTTTTGTGCAAAAAGAGTTGGACCTAAAATGTGCCAAAACAAACCAAAACATTAGTTTGGATAGACCAAAGAGACTTGGATATTTCTCGATCTATCGCAATGATGATAAAGAAAGTGTTTATTGTCCAGATAAATCAGCTCTAGCGTATTTGGACTTACCTGATCCAGTCTCTATCGACTGCCTTCAAGGATATGATCCTAATAACAAGTACGGATATCAGCGGTCAAAAAATAAAAACTTATTGCAATGGATTCTGGAGAATGAAGCAATTGTGATTGACTTAAATTACGATTTCGTCTGTAACAATGGTGTACTGAAAGATATTATGACTTCTCCGTATCAAAATTTGGATTGGACCCTTTGTGCTGTCAAGATCAGAGGGAAAATCGTTCTTAATAAAATCGCTTCGAACGAGGAGAAGGAAAAAATTGAAACACGATCTGAAAATGACAACAAATCGATTTATGCGGCTTTCAATTTACAACGTTTGGTTGTCAAAAACAGCAATCGTTCTGAATTTACTTCTGGAAAAGAAACTGATTCATTCCATGGCGTTTTCCACTCAAAAATTGGGTCTCATGGAGTACTTCATGCTGGATATTTGAACTGTCTTGAAAGCAAACAAGAACTGGATAAACCCTTTGACGAAATGAAGTTTGTTTTGGTGAAAAAGTTTAATGCTCCAAAGGAATCACACTCATTTTTTCATGGTAACACTTGGTGGTCATTAGCTGTTCTTTCTGGAATTGATACGATTATCCGTGCTAAATGCGAACAAGATTTTATGGTAAAAAGTATCGATAAGTTGCAAGTTGACAGTCTGGTCAATAAACACAGACAATCGATTTTTGTGGCTTCATTGACTTCAATTCTCGGTCATGTCAAGTCAATTGTTACAGAGGAAAACAAATGTTATAACTTTCATTTCAATGGCAAGGATAAAAAGTCGACTGGCTACGTGAAGATGGATCTAGATGATGATCTCATTCCAGGATGGTATATTAATGGACAACATCCTAACAAATCTCATTCACCATTCATTTAAACTTAGCATTTCTTAATTGTGTCGGGTGTGATAAAAGTTACTTCTCAAGTCCTAAACATAAATACAGAAAAGCACTGTTTTTCATCCTTACGACTCCGTATTTACATTTACAAAAAGTGTTGACATTCCTGACTCTAGATAACTTTTGCTGTGTGAATAGTGTTGCACGAAAAAGAACGATATTTTCCGATAATCGTCCATTCAATGAAATTTCAACTTTTAACTATAAAACTATGAAGAACTATTCTGAAGACTAGATAAGACTAGATAAGACTAGATAAGAGTTTAATTAGCGCTATAAAAGCTAGCGAAATAATTTACGAGAAACTTTGTCCACACCCGACATCTTAAGATGATAAAACTAGCTTTTGAACAATTGTTTTGTTACTAATGATCTATTAATTGCCTTTTTGATTGTTGATAAATTTTGCCATTATTGTATCATAAATTAAGCCTTCACGATTAAAAAAGACCTTTTTTTAAACAAAGTTTGTTTTGAATTTCATAAGTATTATATATAATCCTTGCATCCACCTAAATCTTAAAGACTTTCTGAAATCCCTTATCACTAGATGGAGACTGACAAAAATTGCTTTAACCGGGTACTTTAGTAAGATTATATTACATAATGTATAAGAGTTAGCTAAACAACTACATTGATTTTGTAATGAGTCACTTCTATGCAAGCGTTGGATCTAACAAGTGCCAGAATGAACTGTTATATAACTAATATTTTTTCATCCAACTTGGATTTATTTTACAAAGTATAAATTCTTATGTTATAGATTCGCTTGAATTAGAAAATTTATTTAATCGATACCATAACCATTGATTTAGTAACATGGCCTCGACCGTTCGAACAAAAAGTGCAACAATCATTGATGCTTTATATGTTAATCAATTGTGCCGAGAAAAATCAAATCGTGTTTCACTAGAACGACCGAAGAGACTTGGAAGTTTTTCATACTATGATGATAATAATGGTAGTGATTACTGTCCAGATATATCAGCTCTACGGTACTTGGCCTTACCTAATCCAGCCAATATCAACTGTCTACAAGGATATGATCATAATGTAAGTTATGATCATTCTAATTCTAGAGTTATGCTCTTATTGCGATGGGTCTTGGACAACGAAACAACTATGCAACAGTTTCCTTCGGATTTCATTTGTTACAATGGTGTAATCAAAGATATGATGACTGTTAAGCATAATAATCACGATTGGAACCTTACTGCCATCAAAATCAGAGGGAAAATTATTCTTAATAGCAAGGAAACTATTGAGGCGAAAGATAGGATTGGCATTGAAGCAGAAAAGGACAACAAATTGAGTTATGTAGCTTTGAGTTTACAACGTTTGATTACCAAGAACAACAATTGTCCTAAATGTATTTCTGGTAAGGAAAATGATTATTTTTATGGTGTTTTTCACTCAAATATTGGCTCCCATCGAATCCTTCATGTTGGACAATTGGACTGTGCTGAAAGCAAACAAGAACTGAATAAACATTTCGATGATATGAAGTTTGTTTCAATTGAAAAGTTCGATGCTCCCAAAGAATCACAGAGCTCTTATCAAAGTAGCACATGGTGGTCAATGGCTACTCTTGCTGGAGTTGATACAATTATCCGTGCTAAATGTGGACGAGATTTTACTATTCAAAATGTCGATAAGTTGGAGGTTAAGGATCTAATCTGTAAACAGAGACAAATGATATTTGTTACTTCATTGAATGTGGTTCTTAATTTTATCAAGTCAATTGTGACAGAGAAATATAAATGTTATACTTTTCATTTCAATGGCAAGGATAAACAGTTGGTTGGATACATGAAAGAATCAGAGAAAAGTTTCATTCCATTTTGGTACATTAATGGACAACCTTCTCGCACATCTTAATGACCATTCATTAGCACATACAATGTACTTTAATCTGTGGTTTATCTGAACTAAGGCTCCGATTTCTGGTTAAATCAAGTATCCAATTGTAATCTGAATTTTCATCTCTCTACTTCATAGGAATTGACTAATCAGGTTTCAACTATCAATAAACTAATAATTAACTAACATCTTTTTCCCACCAACAAGTTTAAAGTCAATTTTTGCAGAGCTTAGTCTTCGCTTCACTCAGATTACTATGTTACTATGAGTAGTCAAACGAATACATTGAGTTAATGAGAAATTTATGCTGTTTAAGATGTTTAGTTAACCCTTATTTCATTACTTGTTGTGAAAATCAATAATAATTTCTAATAGCGACTCAGCTTTCTAACTCAAAATATCTTAAATGCTTTCTTTGAGTCAAGGTGTTACTTTTAGGCAAGAGTTGACTCTAGGATGGGTAAAAACGGATTGTCCAGACGAATCATCTCTTCGGTACTTGGACTTACCTAAATCAGTCTCTATCGACTGCCTCCAAGGATATGATCCAAACATCAAGTATGGATATGAAGAGCCAAAAAGGGTAAACTTATTGCGATGGATTTTTAAAAATGAAACAATTGTTCGCCACTTTACTTACGACTTCATCTGCAACTGTAGTTTGTTGAAAGATCTGATGATTTCTTCATATACTTCTTCTAACTGGCACCTTTATGCTGTCAAAATCAAAGGAAAGATCATATTGAATCGAATCATATCGACTGAGAATGGAAGCATTGTTACACGATCTGAACAGGACAAAAAATCGACTTATGCAGCTTCTAATTTGCAACGTTTGATCACTCTAAATGTTTCCTGGAAGTTACAAGTGACTTTTTTTCAAACCCAACACCTGAAGATGATAAAAATAGCTTTTGAACAATTGTTTTGCATTAATGATCTATTAATTGCCTTGTTGATTGTTGATAAACTGTTGCATTATTGTATCATAAATTAAGTCTTCACGATTAAAAAGGACCTTTGTTTAAACAAAGTTTGTTTTGAGTTTCTTAAAAACATTGAGTTATAAAATGGGATATTACATCGGATAACATTGAATGTGATGCACTGGTAGCTGTACCTAACGCAACAAATCGGTCAATTTTTATCGTAGTCGCCATCAATCAGTCTCTGAAATTAACTCCAAAGTCGAGCATTATTTTCGTATTAATGTCTCTAAAACAATAAAATACCAAAGATGGCGACACCGAAACATTGCGCTAAGTGCAGCTACCAGTGTAACTGATACTTATAACAGAATAAAGTTGTAAAGGTTTTGTGTTCACGCATCTTATTAATAGATTCATTTTGCAAAGTTATTTTGCTTTAACACATTGAGTGATATTTGTGTCTAAAATACGTTTTCAGAAGTAAACTTAAGACGATACCGCAACCCTTGATCGATTAATTGACCATAGATTTAGCAACATGTCCTCGATGATTGAAACAAAAAGTGCTAGTGTCATCAGTGAGATAAATATGAATCGGTTGTGCCGCGATATGAAGGATGTTTCACTGGAAGGACCAACAAGAATTGGATATTACTCGAGCTATAAGAATGATGAAAAAGAAAGTGTTTTTTTACCAGACAAATCATCTCTAGCATATTTGGATTTACCTAATCCAGTCTACATCGACTGCCTTCAAGGATACGACAAGAAAGCCAAGTACGGTCATATCCTTCGTGGAGAGATGCTCATGTTGCGATGGGTTTTGAACAATAAAGCAACCATGCAAAAGTTTCCTTCGGATTTCATCTGCTACAATGGTCTTTTGAGAGACTTGATGAATGTAAAGTATACTGATGCCGATTGGAACATTTCTGCTACTAAAATCGAAGGAAAAATTATTCTCAATAGGAAAGCAACGATTGAGGCAAAAGAAAGGGTTGAAACTCAATGTAAAAGAGCTAATCAATCATCCTATGTAGCTGACAATTTACCACGTTTGATTACTAAGAATATTAATCATTCTCAGTGTTCTTCGAGAAGATTGAAGGATTCATTTCACGGCGTTTTTCATACAAAAGTTGGTTCTCATCGTATTTTGCATGCAGGATATTTGGATTGTGTTGAAAGTGAACAAGAATTGACTAAACCTTTCGATGAGATGAAGTTTGTTTCGATCAAAAAGTTCAATGCTTCGAGACAATCACATTCAACATTTCAAGCATACAATTGGTGGTCATTGGCTAAACTTGCTGCAGTTGATACGATTGTTCGCGTTAAATGTGATTGGGATTTTATGGTTAAAAAAATCGATATGTTGGACGGACAGAGTCTAATCCATAAAGACAGACAAATTATGTTTTTTGCGACATTGAATACGGTTCTTGATCATTTCAAGTCAATCGTTACAGAGGAAAATAAATGTTATAAATTCATTTTCAATGCCAAGAATAGAAAGTTGACTAGCTACATGATGATGGACCTTGATGAAAGTTTAATTCCATCTTGGTATATTGATCAACAAATTTCTATTGAATGTTAAAAAACATTTATTTGAATATTGTGTTTTCACATTCAACAGATAAATAAATCAACAAAAATTTAAATTATTATAATTTCGTATTATGTGATGTTAATAATGTTTTCGAATAAGACTTCTTCATATCAGACTCAGGAATTAAGTTTCAAAAACAATTAACTAACATTTTTCCCACAGTCTTGTTCAAGTTTACAGTTAATTATGTTAAAAGAGTTAATCAAACAACTACATTGAGTTTTCATTGAGTCATTTTTATGCAAGCCTTGAATCTAGCAAGTGCCATAATGAACTTTTCTTTAATTCAGCTTGGATTCATTTTACAGAGTAGTTTCGACTTTAATGTATCATTTTTATGTTATAGATCCGCTTGAGTTGTTAAATAAATTTAAATCAATGCCATAACCATTGATTTAGTAACATGGCCTCGACCGTTCGAACAAAAACTGCAACAATCATTGATGCTTTAGATGTTTATCAATCGTGCCAAGATACACCCAATCATGTTTCATTGGAAAGACCAAAGAGACTTGGATATTTTTCATGTTATGATAATAATAATAATAGTGTTTTCAGTCAAGACATATCAGCTCTACGGTACTTGGACTTACCTAATCCAATCTCTATCAATTGCCTTCATGGGTACGACCCTAATGTAACGTATGGTCATGTTATCTCTGAAGATATGCTCTTATTGCGATGGGTCTTGGACAACGAAACAACTATGGAAAAGTTTCCTTCGGATTTCATTTGTTACAATGGTGTATTGAAAGATATGATGACTGTTAAGTACAACCATCATGATTGGAACCTTTCTGCTATCAAAATCAGAGGGAAAATTATTCTTAATAGGAACGAAACTATTGAGGTGAAAGAAAAGATTGACATTCAAGCAGAAAAGGACAATAAATCAAGTTATGTAGCATTGAATTTACAACGTTTGATTACCAAGAACAACAATCGTCCTGAATGTAGTTCTGATTCACTTTATGGTGTTTTTCACTCAAAGATTGGCTACCATCGAATCCTTCATGTTGGACATTTGAACTGTGTTGAAAACAAACAAGAACTGGATAAACCTTTTGATGATATGAAGTTTGTTTTGATCAAAAAGTTCGATGCTCCGAAAGAATCACAGGGTTCTTATCAAAGTAGCACATGGTGGTCATTGGCTACTCTTGCTGGAGTTGATACAGTTATTCGTGCTAAATGTGGACAAGATTTTACGATTAAAAATATCGATAAGTTGGACGTTAAGGATCTAATCTGTAAACAGAGGCAAATGATATTTTTTAATTCATTGAATGTGGTTCTTGATTTTATCAAGTCAATTGTTACGGAGAAATATAAATGTTATACTTTTCATTTCAATTCCAAGGATAAACAGTTGGTTGGATACATGAAGGAATCAGAGAAAAGTTTCATTCCATTTTGGTACATTAATGGACAACCTTCTCGCACATCTCAATGACCATTCATTTGCACATACATTGTACTTTAATCTGTAGTTGATCTGAACTAAGGATCCGATTTCTGGTAAACCAAGTTTCTAATCGCAATCTGAATTTTCATCTCTTTACTCCATAGGAATTGACTAATCAGGTTTCAACTATTAATTAACTAATAATTAACTAACATCTTTTTCCCACCAACTTGTTGAAGTTTAAAGTTAATTATTTTTGTAGAGCTTAGTCTTCGCTTGGCTCAGACTAATTACGTTATATGAGTTAGTTAACCGGATACATTGAGTTCATAAGAAATTTAATGCTCATATTCATGCAGTTTAATGTTGAAATATTAATTATACAATACAACTCATATTAATCTTGTAGCTCGTATTAAAAGATAAATTAAACGGTTTATAAAAACAAAAGTACATTCATTAAAACCTCGCAAAGGTTGTACTCGTTTTTCGGTTTTTGGACCAGCCCGACAGAGACCGCACCAGCTTTTGTTCGCACTAATTACACATTTGTTATTCTGACGAATCCGGGTAGGGGAAGAGGAAATTTCCAGAAGGCTCAATCTCTGGGTAAGCTGCGAGGGTTTGCCTAACCTCAAAACTTCGGCGAGATTCGAACGCTAACCCCAAGATGCAGAACACAACATATGAAAGTTAGCAATCTTATCGCTTACGCTACCCACTAGGCTACTCGCAAAGGTTGTGAGTGGTCCTGACGCCTAGCGATATTGTTTAGGCAACTCTTTGAAATTACACTCCATTTCAAAAGTTTGGTCCGCAAATTCATTTTGAATTTTCTGTTTAAAGATTTAAGTTAATTCAAATATTTTTACAAAATAAATAGATTAAATAAAGGCAAATCATATGCTGATTCTGATTTTTAAAAAAATAAATTCTTAACAATTAAAATTGATTTTGAAAATTTTAACATTGGAATGGATTTTTCAAAAGTTTGGTCCATGTTTGATTATCTAATCAATGAGCGCAAGAAATTGGTTGTAATTTTTATAAAATCTTCCTCATTTGTATGCAGTTGATTCATGAAAAGTTGAGTCTTTTAGCATAATTCTGAAAAAAATTTATTCAAATTATTGTTTCATAATGGATTTCTATGGGAATTTCAGTTTTTTCACTGCCAATCAGTTATTGCAATTGAATTAGCGACTTGATTGTGCTAAAACTCATACCCATCATAGCTGAGACTATTGGCGAAATGCTCGAAAAAAATCAG